AAATAAATAAATAAATAAATAAAAATAAATAAAAGATCTGTACATTACATTACCAAGCAATCTGAAATAAGGTTAAAAGTCTAAGGACATGAAACATTTTTGTATTTAAGATGCAAGTACTTAAGTATTCTACTATACATATGTCTTATTACTTGTAACAACTTTACAAAGAATTAAGTAAAATACTCACAGTTGCTTATCACACCTCCGAGTGGGTCACCCTTAAAGTCAAACTCAATATCCATATATTTTCCCTGTTAAAGAAAGACTTGGTGAGTTTTTAAGTTCATCTCAAAATAGTGTTTCAGAGAACAGACTATGCAGAACTTACTCTAATGCATTTGTTTAGACGTAATTATGAAAGGCTCTCCACATAACCATGAGGCAAAACCGTGCGCCTCTACATATAATTAATACTAAATATCCTTTTTTCTCAAAGCATGTCTATACCACTGCTAATCTGAGCGTAGATCTTCTCAGCCATTTTGGGACTTTCCCATTTTAGAAATGTTTTCCAGCATAATTACAAAGGGCGTGAATACTCAAATTAAGAATGAAAGCTGGGGAAAATACATAGCTCTTCCATACGTACTGACTGGGAGGAGAAATCATCTCGTTTTTATAGGCAGAATATGGAGTCAACCCTGATTACCAAGTCCAGTCATGCTGGACAGTGGATGAAATGCAAAGTTCTGTTTTTATATCAACCGAAGTCATAGATATGATATGTGCTGTAACCAGCTCAGAATCGAACACTAACCATCACCACCCTCTCTGGCTTTTGACTGGGACAGTGTGGCAACACACAGACCATGATCCTATCGCACTTTATAGATGTTCCCTTAAAACACACACGTAGTTTAATATTGAGAAAAATTTTTTTAAAAGAATTGGTCTATAATTGCCAGTTAGAAAGGAACAATAACAGAACAACTCTGACAGCTGTTTCTTGTTTGGAAAAGGATGTGCTGACTTCGTAAGTCTTTTGTCTTTTCATGTCCTGTCTTAGAAATAGACAGCTTAGAATGGGAATGAATGCTTTAACTTTCATCTGTGGAAGAAGAGGCACCAAGAAGAAGTGTGGTCACCCAGAGCTTGGCCAGCCACGCGCCTGGGGCCTCTCTGGGAGCTAGGCTGACTCCCTCAACCTCCTCCTCACTGTCACCTTACTCGATTGAGCAGACGTCTATCAGACACCGCTTCAATGACGAAGCAGCCCAAGGACATGAGAAGCGCAGTCCTGGCTCCCAGGAGTTTATAGCAGAGAGGGGGATGGAGGCGGGGGAGCAGGACCCACTCACACACCACCCCACACAGGGCAGCGCTGCGCAGAGGAAGGAGCAGAAGGTATCTGCACAGCTTAATAGCAAAAGCCCTGGAGCGAGGCAGGCCAGGAGGTGGGAGGGCAGGTGCAAGAACGGGCAGTTCTGGGCAGATGGGAAGAGGACCAAGAAACGGAGGCAGGGGACGGAGGGAGGGGACACAAAAGCATCAGATGTGTTATGCGCATGAGCAACTGCCCACTATGAATGCGATCATGATGTAGTACAAACGTGCTAATAAAATATAATTTAAAAATTGGCATCCCTCAGCATAGTAAGTGGAGACTGGCGAAGGAGCGGCAGCACCCGGCATGTTTGAGACAGCAAGCCGTGTCATGAAGGCTCCTCACCAAGGATGTCATAAGCAGGCCTGGCCGCTGACAAGACCACCTGGCGAGTGCGGTGCAGACTGCAAGAGACCAGCAGATGTGGCTGGCAGCAAGTGACCGCTGTGATGAGCACAGCGACACGGGCAGCTTCGAGTAAAAGCAGCAGGAGGGAATAGCAAACGGAGCTGAGAGCTGCCCACAGAGTGACAACAGGCCTGGCTTGGACCTCAGACGAGATGGACAAAGTCCAGGAAAGTGGCCTGGGCTGCCGAGGGGACAGCGCAGACCCCTTGTGGGACACAGGATGCCAAGTCACCACAAGGGCGGGGAGAAATTGTCCGGGCTTACAGGTTGGCCTGCAGGATGAAACCGAAGGTAGACACAGGGCACAGGCAGCCAGAGGACGCAGAGCACAGGCGTGGACAGGGTGTGGGGACAGATGCAGGGGAGGATGCAGGGTAGATTCTGTGTGAGGGCCTGGATGACAGCTCTTTGGAGAAGTCATAGTATCAGCGAGGAGCAAAGAAGAGCTCTGGAGAGAGCTGAGTCACTGCTGCTGGAAGCACTCCGCAGCTGACCAAACTTCTGAGTAAGATGCCTCGGAATGAAGCTCATGGTGTCTCTCCTACCCTGCCCAAGGCCTACCTCAGCCTCCATGCAGATGCAAGCGCCACACCCTGCCCCTCCCAGGAAGCCTGTTGGCAAGAACAGGGGCGGGGTCCTGGGCTTGTGGTGCACAACCGTAATTCTAGCTCCTGGGAGGCTGAGGCAAGAGGATTGCTGAGTTTGAGGCCATGCTGAGCTACCTAGTGCGTTTAAGTCCCACTGAACTACACAGTGAGACCCTGTGACAAAAGCAACAAAAAAGTCCTTACATATAACCAAAGGTGGTGAGAGAAAACCAAAAATCCCTTTCTTAAAAGAAGTTCAGTAAGTGACACCAGCCAGGCCGGGGCAAGCTCCATCAGAATCCTCAGTGCAGGGAATTCCTTCTGGGCTAACCAGGCAGTCAGTCAAAGAATCTTCCAGGTCCCTGTGTTCCAGTCTGTACCACAAAACCACTGTGATGCACAGCACCAACTTTATTGATTTACGTATTTTAGGACAGGGTCTACAGGATCTCACTGTGTAGACTGGACTCATAGCGATCTGCCTGTTTACAGCCTCCCAAGAGCTGGGATTACAGGAGCTTGCCACCACGCCCAGTCTCAATCACAATCTCAGCGCACCCCAAGGCAGGGCTGGCACGGCCAGCCCCAGGGATCGAACGTCCAGCCCCTGAGACTGCCTAAGTAGGTGCTTTAATCCGCTGAGCTATCTGGCCGGCCCTCACAGTAATAACTTTAATACAATGAAGTGCTAGCTGTACACAAGCATACTGTACATCTGGGTACAGTCCGGTCATAGACCACACGGGAAAAGCTACTAAAAACTGGGCATGAAATGATTTAGTCTATAATAAAGTGTTAATCTCATCTCCTAAGACGCACATTAAATGCGATTTCTCTGAAGCTACTTAATAAGCTAAATCACCCGCTAAACCTTTCACCAGATTTCAAATATTACTAAGCGCTAATTACCTTTTAAGCAATATGGTTTTTACATGTGTACTGCCTGGAGACTAAATATATTTGGTAAGCGATGTGTGTGTGTACACACAAATTGAAAACAAAATAAAGCCTCTATCCATAAAGAACCTTGATTGTTGAAATCCTATCTGCCCACACCTCACTTCTGCTTCTGCAGTCAGATTAGCCACGTTACCACAACAGGAAAAGGCATCGATCGAGTGGGTTCTAACACCTTAACAGGCTAATCCAATGGAAAAAATTCACAGCCCTGGAACTAGAAACTGGTTTCACGTTCCGCTTTTAGCCATCCAAAGCCCCGCTACTTAGGTCACTCTTCTCCAGTGCCGGGCAACCTAATGAGGAAAAAGCCAGAGCAACCTGAAGAGACCAGAAAAGGGTCCCTACGTGTCTCAGGAGGGATGACACGGCATGATCCCCACGGACAGGTCGCGTGTGAAAAGACTGCCCACAAGCTGAAGGGGCTTTTCATATAGAAATAAAGGTACACGCCCGGTGAAATCACAGAGGGACCAAATCCCACCACCACATACCATCCGCACCTCTGCCCCAGTGGAGGCCGTGTGTGGCTGTGCTAGTGAAGACCCGGGCAAGGAGGCCAGCACCACTGCAGGGCCCCGAGGTGCCAACGTGTGGGGTGTGTGCCAGACAGTTTGGGACAGGCAAGGTGGCAAGGACTGGGCTCTCGCTAGTGAAACAGGACTTCCACTCGGCTGAGCCTGGCCACCCACAAGCCTCGGCCTCACCCCTCGCCTCCCATCTCTGACGCATCCTACTGATGTCACCACGGAGAAGCTTTAGAACACAGGCCACCTACTCCTGCTGGCCACCAAACAGGGACAAAGATGACAGCGTATGCAAACCTCATACTCGGTGCTCTTTCTTTTTACTTAATTTCTGGTTCATTTTTTAAATAGTTTAAAAATGTCAGTGAATTAGCACACGTGTGCTGTACATGACATTTATATCCTCGTGGGAAGTCAGTACATGGGCAGAACACATCCTCACTGCGCTGTCCATCCCTCTCCCTCCCTCCCGCCTTAATTTCTAATTCTTATGATTTCTAAATACCAAAACTCATATAAGTGGAGTCATCTTAAACAGCCTCATTTAAATCACTCACGGAATTTTATGGTAGAAAGCATGATAAAAAATATTTACCACTCTCAAAAAAATTTTTTTAAAAAGCCCTTATGGGAATTTCAGGGTCTCTGTAAGGATAGTATTCATATTTTACAAATGTGTGTGTTAAGAAATATTCAACATCTACTGACTGTTTAAACACACATAAATTAAATATAAACACTAAGTATGCTTATACAAACACTTACGAATCTAGAAGAGTTGTCATTCCTTACAGTTTTGGCATTTCCAAAAGCTAGCAAGAAAGAAACAGATGCACAGTTAAAATTGAAAGAAAAAATACTTTCAAGCAGAAACATACAGCAAATATAGTACTTAAATTCTATCCTTCCTGGCAAATGCAACCTATAGCAAGGACACTTCTATCTTCAGGATTTCCACAGACTCATGCCTGACAAGTTAGTAAGTTTGTAAACTCCCAAGTCTTCTTATAACATTCATAGAAAGAGACATTACTATGATTAATGCAATTTTCCAGTATTCCTGCAGACATAATCTTTCCTAATTCAGTGTTTCACAGCTCTCTGAGATGCAAGTCAGGCGAGCAGTGAGCACCGTTGTTAGCAAACAGGTCATTCTGGAACTTACTCTCAAAGGTCTGATGGAACCGGACAAGGTTTCCAGATCAGAAAAGGTGACATGTAAAGCCCTAAATGGCTCAATTTTAAAAGAAAGCTATTTATTTAAATGTGCTTAATTATGTAACTGCAACAAAGAGACTGACTAAAAATGCTACATACTTTTTATGTCCATAAAAAAGTGGAACATTCCAGAAATCAAATTGGCCCAAAATGCAAAATGCAAGTCTGTTCCAGTCTTAGATGTGTCAGAGTCAAATGTCTCATGGAACTTGGTCTTAAAGCAGCATGCACAAGGACCACGTGGCTGACACTACCAGGCACACAGGCCCTCACCTTGTACAGGTGGCACATGATCTTAGAGGACTGTCACCAGGCCTGTGCATCAGAGAAGGAAAAGGCAAAGAGTAGACGTCTAAGCAGTGTAACCCAACGGGACCCTGGGCTGACTAGGCAGCGCATCACAAACGTTCATGCACTAATCAGGGGCCTAAGGAAGGACCTGACAGTCTGCATTTCTAACAACCTCCCCCTCCCCCTACCTCTAGCTGTAGCTGTAGCTAGAAGAATGGATGGCAACGTGGTGAACAGAAATGAATCTCTGCAATACAGGGCTGGGCATCAGGTCTCTGAACACCTTTGTAGGACCTTCCAGTTCAGTCAAATGGGTAGAAAAGGATTAGAGGAACAAGCCCCAAAGTTAGCAATGATGGATACAAGCTAGTTCTAGTTTTGAAAGCAGTGAGAACGAAGAAGTATTAAACAGAAATCAGCTTAAGACACTTGACACCCAAACCTGGGTGGGTCTGTTACATTTCTCAATAAGAGCTGATTTATGTTTTGACTTTTTCCTGGCACCAAATCCTCCCACAGATGCTGGGTACTAGGTTGCATGAAGAAAGCTGTAGACTAGAAATACTCAAAAACAGAAGCCCACTAGGAGGATCCCATCTTAGGCCCAAGTCAAAGGCCTTTTTGAGCGCTACCATGACCACGATGGAAGCTGACCCAGATATCAGGCAGACAGTGGTATTTCTTGTGTTTTTACAGACTAACCCTTTTTGGCAGGTGTGAAAATGTAGAGCTGCCAAGATAACAAACTTGCATAGCCCCAAAGCCCAGCTCAAGATGCTGACAAATAAAGGACAACTTATTGTGACTTGAAGGTCAAGGGCAATCGTAGGATCTGCTTCAAAAGAGCTTGATTCAGGGCACCACTTGTGAGCCATAAACCATCTTTTCATCAAACCGGTCTTGAGTTGCACATTAGTAAACACAACCCTAAACACTGAAGTCTTTATTGGGACCCACAGAGCCAAAAACAAGTGTTCTATTATAGAGCATTCGAGACACATTCCTCAATTGTTTTTTTTTTTTTAAGTTCATTGTTCAAAATGTTCATTTACAGTAGCAGCTCCAGTTAAAAAGGAAAGTATTCCCATAAAAGAGAATACATGCCCACAGTGGACATTTCTCCCATTTCCTGCACTGCATGCAGCCTCATCTCAAATACCACTGAAGACAGAGCCAGATTCTAGTCGCGGATGCCAGCCAGAGCATTTCACAACACTGCTCCTAGAATCCCAGCATTCTTAAAATAAGCATATGCAGATAGACAGTGATGTAAAAGCAAGAGACAGGCATACAGGCAGATTTTGGTACAAAAAGGAAAAGGTGTCGTTTCTCTGGCTTATTATGGTACTGGAGAGCAGAAAGATCCAAACAATAGGTGATCTGGCCTTTGTTTCTGCTCTTTCTCCCTCTCTCATTCCTTCCTCTCAGCAATACTTGAGATTAAACCCAGGGCCTTATGCATCATGGCCTTCCCTGGGCATCTCTGGCCTCTGCCTGAGCACTAGATGCCAACTGTGCCCTAAGTCCCAGATGTTAGGATCAAAAATGCCTAGACAGGACCAGACCCTGAAGGAGACAAGATGAAAGACAAGGTAACTTTGCAACTTGGAAGAGACAGACACTCCCATATGGGCCAGACCTCAAGATAAAGGAGGAAACAAATACAGCTACATACTTCGCTAGGGAAGGGCTTCAGGGATTGATATTCTAAATAGGTATCAATCACCTTGAAAGAGCCCAAATGAGTCACTAGCCCAACCCCAAACAGGAAGAGATCCTGTCCTGTATTCATGTCTGCTTGCTACCTGACTTGCTTCCCCATTTGGTACTGGATTTAATCAATTTTATCTGAGCATCAGTGCTTGTAATCTCATTGGTTGACCATAGTTTCGTCCCAACTCATGCCCACCTAAGCGAGTTCCTATGTCTTTTTCACCACCTTAGACCCACCTTACCACATGGTTTTACTCTATAAAAGTCCCTGGAAGAGACAGCTTCCCAGGGGGACAACCCACTTGGGCCTTCCTCCTGTCTGTCTCTTGGACAGGAGCTCTCTTTCCCTTAATAAATATATTCTGCTTATTTAAAAAAAAAAAATGCCTCCATGCATTTCTGATGCCCCCTGGGGAGGCAAAATCGCACCTCACTGGAATGTCTGGACTGAAGAAGTAGCCTTGTTTGGCTCTGTTCGCAGTCACAGAAGGACAAGATTTCTCTTCCTCTGGGGCAAGAGGGCAACGCCCCCACCCCTGTGGAGGAACAGAACACTGGTCCAGAAAATCTACTGCACCCTGACAGGTGTTGTAAAGAACGGTAAAGACACATCTAAAGTACAGTTATTGGCGTCCCATCCATCAGCGCTGACATATGGTTCCCATATAAGGTGGTTCACACCATCCTTTCCTGAATTAAGAGAGCTCATCTCTAGCTTCATTTCCTGATAGTCATGTGGAACAAGAGCTATGCCCCCACCTATTCACATCCTGCAGCTCTCACCCTCAATGTGATGGCGCTGGGAGGCTGAGCCTTTGGAGATGATCAGGGTGAGATGAGCTCATCAGGGTGTGGCCCTCACCAAGGGATTAGTGCCCTTAGAAGGAAGGGCACTAGACAGCTCACTCCTGCTCTCCCCCACCAACGCACACACCACAGGGGGACAGCCACTTATCACGCCAAGACTAGAGGCTTCTGAATGAAACCCACCTTATTAGCACCTTGATCTCAGACTTCCAGCCTCCAGAGACTGAGAAAACAGATCTCTGTTATCCAGACAAACAGTCTAGAGCTCTTCATTGTGACAACACAGGAATAGATGATGTGAACTCCACAATCAAGCTCAAGCTTTCTATGGCTTGAAAAATCTTGAAGGATTTCCCCTGGCAGCAAAAATAACTAGGCACAGGTGGTCTCTTAAGTGGTAAAACTCTACTGCGCCATCACAGCAATTTTCTTTTCAAGCAAAATCTAAGTAATTCGTAGGGGAAAAAGGATTGTAATTGGAATGCTCTTTCTTGTGAGTAAACTGTTCCCTGCTTTAAGCATTCTGAAGACACCTTTGTTTGCACAACAGGTTTTGGCCCAAATTTCTTCCATGCCTCCTCACCTCTCGGCATCCCAGGAACGTGAGCACCCTGAAACTGGATCCACAGCTGGGAACCCCTTGGGCCAGCAGAGACAGACAAGCCTACCTTCCAGGACCGGGTTGGACTGCAGGAGCTGCTCTTTGACTTGGTTGACTTCTGCTCCTTTTCCACAAACAGCTGCCACATAGGACATAACCAGCTTGCTCGCCTCTGCAGATGAAACAGGCCATGTTATTCAACCCAACGTACATTATGAACTCCTGGGGGGGGGTGGGGGGGGACGAAATTGGGGAAGAACACTAACAGTGTTCTCAAATGCCATTATATCCAAGAATAATAATGTGAGGGAGATTTCTTTTCAATCTGAGTGCTTTTAGACAGAAGAAGAATTGTGCTCCTTATCAACGGGCTATTAAAAAGATTGCCTAGAAATACAGCCAACAGAACCTCAGGAGAATTATATTCTTAAAGCAATCAAGTATAATCAATTACTGGCCTACAATTTTTACAGATGATTCGGGCCAAAAATAGCTTGGCAACTTGAGCATTTTCATACCAAAGGTGTTTCCAAAGCCTCAAAGAACTGCTCTTCCTCAAAATATTCTCTAAATCAAGTGGTTTGCTCCCAAGTAGACCAGACTGATTCCTCTTCAATTCAATTTAAAAGCTACATTATTGGTGGATCTGACCAATCCTTCAGAGTAGGGTTGAGTTCAAGGGCTTCACCAGTAACCCTGAAGGGTAAGCTGCTAAGAGATCAGGCCACGTGAGGAAGATTCTTAACGCAAATGAATGAGGTGGACAAATTGGTTTTTGGTAGCTTTTCCCTCCTTTATCAGTCTCTTGCCTCCTGGCATCCGTCTCCTAGACTCTGATCCCATGAAGGCTGAATTCCTAGGTATGACAGTAGGTCTCAAGGGAAATGAGATCCAGAGCCGGGTGAGTCTGGGGCCATGGGGAGGGCAGTGCAGGAACCCACGGAGACTTTCACAGGCTCAGATACACTGTGCACTTGGGAAAAGACCCAGAAGACTTGGTTTCCCAAACTTATTTGCCATGGAATCTGCTGCGTGTTGAGCTGTTCTGTTCTAATGCTCACCTATTAGGATGTGGGAAACACTCAAGTATTAATTGTTGGCAGAATAAACTATACAGCCTGGTCTCAAGAGCCAGGAAGCTCATCCGCCCAAATGTGCTTCCTCGCAAGTCTCTGCACTGGTGCTGGTGGCCGTGGGCACAGAGCCTTCGCAGACACAAATGACAGCACCTCTGCTTTCAGTGCAGTGAGACAACTCAACACTGCAGTTTGGGAGACTACGACCAGCATGTGCCTCTGAGCATTAGGGTCTCTGAGCAACCTAAGTCAACAAACATGGAGCTCCAAGAGCCTAAGCACGTCCACCAAACGCTCCAGTCTTAGGATAACGGCTTTTGGTGGGGCAGTATCAACCAGTACGGTACACAGGTGGTAAGCAACCTCATGAAGCCCTGAGAGCTAGGGCTGGAAGCTGGGTTCTCACTCCTGACTGCGGTTAGATCTCCCTCCAGTCTGCTTTCTGGATAAGGAAAATGGTCCTCTCTGTTCTGTCTGGTCTCTGGCTCTGGAGAAGCCACATGTGCACCCTAACTTAGGGCCCAGCCTCGGACCCACTCCTTAAAGCCAGCACCCATATTCTCACAAGGGCCACTGATGTTCTTCTTAATTGACAGAAATTTCTGGCCTATCTTTCCTCACACTTTAAAATTAGGGGACTGAAAGTACAGGTACAATAACTATTGTAAACAGTGGCAAGCATGAACACACACACACCACACACACGTTAGATGAAAGATGAGTTTTCGGCGGACAAGAAACGAAAGGTCCAGGCTGCTGTTTCATTCTGCTAACTGTGGACCTCCCATGACTAAACCTCATACTTCAGATTCATGGCCAACCTGCGCTCATTGCAAACTTGCTGTAGTCTAGGAGGAGGGTAGGGGGTGAGAGAACTGGTAATGAGAACCTTCAGCAGCTGTGAGAACTGACTTGGCCTCCAAAGGCCTTTTTTGAACCAGAACAAATTGGGATCAGGTTCTCTTAGGGTCATATCTGTTTGAAAGCGGCACCAGGAACAGATCTTTTGGAATACAGGTTAGGCTTTTATCACTTGCCCTTGAAATACATATAAACCTACAATGCCTATTGGTATATACACATCTGTTGATTTAAAGTAACTTTAGAAGTTACTTGTATGAAACTTAATTATTTAAGTATTTGGTACAGAGTCTCACTATGCAGCTCGGACGTGTCCTCCTGTCTTCAGCCTCCCCAGGGCTGAGATTATATGTGTGCGCCACCACATCCAGTCTTGGTGGCTGGCTCAGCACACCCTGGGGACAGGGCCAGAGTGGCATATGATGACAGGGATTGAACCCTGGTCCCTGCGTTTGCCTAAGCAGTCACTTAATCTACTGAGCTATCTCTGTGGCCCTTTGTATGAACTTTAAAGCATATTTAGGCAATTCTGATATAATTTTTAAATACTATTCAAAGATATACTTCAATCTGTCTTAAAAGCATGTAATCCAAGTGACAAAAAGTTTTTATGTTGAGATTCTTAACTCTCTTCAGGACTCTGTATTAGTGGGCTCACTTTAATAATTCACTTTTGGAAGCTGAGATTAAGAAGAATTTCTTTTTAATCAGTCACACTATCGACAAGAGCCAACTCGTTCATGGTTTTTCTGACTTAACACTTGACCTTTCACTCCAGCAGTTCAAGAAACGGGTCCTGCTCTAGAAAACTGGATGAGGATGTGGTGAGCTTCATCCTTGCTGAGGGGAGGTGTTCCATGGTCCTTCAGCATGCTGGGAAATCATGGACAGCTCGTGAGGCTTTCGGTTTCATTTCCTTTAGGCTCTTCAGTGCTAAAGTTCAAACTAATTTGGATCTGTTTCCAAATATGTATGTATCTATACATGTCAAATCTCCATGTACTAACTTCTACAAATGAAACCTATTTCTGAAGAGAATCAAGAATTGAATAGCATCCTTCATATTTCAAAGTCTAGTTTCTGAATCAAGCTGTTAAAACAAATCACTGGCATTTAAAACTGGCAAAATGTAACGGTGTGACCTGGAGGCAATTCATGGATCACTGGTCTCCCTACATCATAGATGCTTCATATATGTAAATTTATGTACACATATACATTTGAATGTAACTTGCATTTTAAAATTTGCCAGCAGTTGGACAAACAAAATATGAAATCTTTGAAATCAATAGTTCTTTTCACCAGACAAGGGTAAGACATTTAGAGTGAACAGGTATTCTGCACTCATAAACAAATGATTAATGAAACACTTTTTGGATCAGAATACTTAAATTAGAGTTAATTTCTATAAAGAAAGGAAAGGGTTTAGAGACGAGAATTTACAATTCTGAGGACTTTAAATTCTTGCAGGGTTAGGAATAATTTCAGTCTGTACTCTCTGGCACTCTGTACTGGATTCTGTATTGTAATTATCACCATCAGAATTATACGAATTTGGGGCCGGGAAGATGGCTCAGTACAATAAGTGCTTCCCTGGCAAGTGCAAGGGCCTGAGTTCAATCCCCGGTTCCACCAAAAAAAAAAAAAAAAAAGTATGAATTCATATATATTGTTATTAATGAAAGAAAGCCTATGAAATGGTAGCCAGCAAGGGAACAAGGTGAAACAAACATTTCACAGAGAGACTTTTGTGATCTTGGGGACAAAAGTCTGAAAAATCCCACTCCAAAGAATCCATTCTATGTGTGTGAATTAAGCAGGCTCCACGTGGATTCAAATGCTCTGTGGAACAGGCAGCAAAAGCTAGGAGTACAGGCGAGGCTTACGTTGAGCTTTTCACTTCTCTATTCACAGGTACGTGGAATGTCGTCGGTGTTAAATATGGATCATGTCACATAACCCAAGTGTTCAGATAAGAGTCACACATCACGTATACACAGTGACATGCGCATCTACGCGCCTCTCTACCTCTGTGATTAAGACACCTAAGGTTTTCTAGGGACCAGGCTCTCACAGGTCTGGTGGTTCAGACTCCTACAGCCAGACTGCCTACGCCAAGCAGGCACATATGCGAGCAGCGACAGAGCTTTGCCCGTGAGAGCTTCACCCCTTGTGGCATTGAGTCTGAGGCCAATATATATGAATTCATATAATATAT